GTATATATATATATATATATATATATATATATATATATATGTATGTATAACTGAATCATTTTGCTGTACAGCAGAAATTAACACAAAATCAACTATATTTCAATTAAAAAATTGAAAAACAAAAGAATTCTCCTCCTGTCATGAGGCAACCACTATTCTGAACATTGTGCTTTTACTACATAGGTGAGTAGCAAAAGAGTTTTTGGGACTTCCCTGGTGGTCCAGTGGCTAAGACTCCATGCTCCCAATGCAGGGGCCCTGGGTTCAGTCCCTGGTCAGGGAACTAGATCCTGCATGCCGCAAAGAAGATCCCGCACGTGGCAACTAAGACCTGTCACAGCCAAATAAATATATATATATATCTTTTTTAAAGAGTTTTTTCCCCTTATTCTCAAAGATGAGCTGTATTATTGCAGCATGTTTATATGGTGATGGGAATGTTTCAGTAATGAGGGGAAAGCTGATTATGTGGGAGAGATAGGGGATAATTTCAAGAGTCCCATTTCTGTGCAGGTGAGAAGGAATGGGATCCCAGCTCACAGATGGGATGGGGGCAGTGAGCAGGTCAGCTTCTCTGCAGTAACAAGGGGAAGGCATTGAATTCAATAGAGATGCAGGTGGCCTGGTAGATTTCGGGGTGGGACCATGAGGAAGTTCTTTTCTGACAGTTTCTATTTTCTAACTGAGATAGGAAGAAAGGTTGTCATCTTATGAAATTGTGGTCTCAGATTTGGGGAATGTGGGAAAATGCAGGCTTGCAGGCCACACCGAAGGCAGAAAGGAAGTGAGACCAGTCGGTATGACTGTGTGTTTTTTCCCCAGACACATTCAGCTCTTGGGTGCAGGTGTGGTGCAGGCAGAGTTGGATTTAACCAGGGATAAAATGTGTTGAAGGGAGAGGGACCAAGAATACAGTGCAAGGCCTGAGAGGCAATTACAGTGTTGAACCTTGGGATCTGCAGTAGGTATTGAGGTAAGTAAAAAAATGAGGGTATCTAGTGGCAAAGAGGAGTGAGAGAGTCAATGAATGAGAGGTCCAGGTGGGGTTGAAGAATTTTTGGAACAGGGATGCTGAGTGAAGGAGGAGGGGTGACATGAAAAGACTGAAGAGATTTTGGAGGGGAGGCAATTATTTGTGGTAACCAAGTCAAAGATGTGACACAGGGAGACAGTGGCTGGGGAGGGGGGAAACATCATTGGAGTTGAGGAAGGGAAGGAAATGACGAGGGTGCTGTATGGTTATCTACATGGATATTGAAGCCACCAAAAATAATGAAATGGCAGAGGTAGACGGTAGAGAGGAATGGTAGAGAGTAGATGGCAGAGAGAAAGGCAGTAAGCTAGATACTGAATCTTCAATGAGGGTTCAACAGGAGAGTGATGATCCAGAATCGAATCATGGGGGAATCAGAGCTCCCGATAGCTGTTAGAGGGTCCAAAGACTCTCCTCCTGGAGGATAGAATCTCTGTTGATAGGAGGACAAGAGCCACGGGCATCCTTGCTCTTGGAGGGAGTTGAGGTAAGGTAGGAGGAGAAATGAATTGGAATACGCCTCCGAGGGAGAAATCTGAGTGAGGTGATGAGAGCTTGGAGAAGTCATTTTCATTCACTTCTTTCTCTGCTTAATTCCTTTCCATTCAATTGAGTTCAAAGATTGATAGAAGAGGTTTTATCTGTGAGGCTCTGAAAACCAGAGATAAGCCAGATTTGGCTCCTGCCTTCAAGTAGCTGACAAGGTAAGGTGAGGACATCAAGATCTCAGCCGGAAGAGATGGGAAAAAATCCAGATAAAGTGAACAATGGGTATGTTTTAGACCCAGATACTTTCTCCTAAAGAAACTTGCTCTAGTTGAAGCCACACCTTTCGGCCTCTCCTCTCTGCGGTGGTCCCCAAAGTGCCTCTAAGCTTGTGATTCCCAACCTTGGCTGGGATCCCGACCTTTGGAATCACCTGGGGATGTCTTTAAAAATATTGACGCCTGAGTCCCAAGAGATTGTGATTTAATTGGTTTAGGATGCGACCTGGGGTTTGGGATTTTTAAATGCTCCCCAGATGACTATAATGTACAGCCAGGGGTAAAAATCATGGCTCCAAGGAATGCCTGGAGCTATGTTTAGAAACCCACTGCTTTAGTCCAACCCGTAATAGAGAGAGATTCCCTCTTGCTGGAGTGAAGGGGTCAATTGATCTGAGCCTTGAAGGATAAGTACATTTTAGCCAAGTGAAGAAGCAGATGTGAAGGGAAGGAGAATATCGTGAGCAAAAGCTTAGATGTGGTCTGAAACACATGACAAGCAGCAAACACTTTGGTTTCTAACAGGCAGAGATTGGAGTAAGAGGTCTTAGATTTGAAGAACAGCTGGGTAAAGACCTGAAGTGGGAATGGTGAATAGTACAGTTTGGTTCCAGAGAAAGCTGGATGATTTCAAATTATGGAAGAGGTTGAAGGCCAGATTAAAATTGTGTAACCGGGTGAGTAAACAATAGGGAATCTTGAAGGGCTATTGAGAGGTGTGTTAAGCGGCTGTGAGAAGTGTGTTTAGGGAGGATAACCTGACAGCAGTGTCAAGGGAGACTTGAGGTAGGGAGAGGTAGGAAAGGGGAGCTGTTGCAATAATCCTAGATGAGGTCATTTTTCCAGCAAGAGTTGGGAAAAAGTTACAGATTCAAAAGACATTGTGATGGCAGAATTGACTGGGCTTAACAGCTCACTAAAAGTAAAGACAGGAAGGAGGTGGAAGGGGCGTCACGTTTTCAGATAAGGGTGCTCAGGAAATGGTGCTGTCTACAAAGGTAGGGAAGCAGGTTTTCAGTGGCATTTCGTCTGTTTGGTTTGGAACCTGCTGAGTTTAGAGAACCAGCAACCATCCGTCCAACCATCCATGTTCCACAAGCACCAGAAGAATGTCTGCCCATAAATACATAGGTTGCAGAATGTCTTAGTCAACTTGGGCTGCTGTAACAGAATACCATAAACTGGCTGTCTTATAAACAACAGAAATCAATTTCTCACAGTCCTGGAGGCTGGGAATTCCAAGATTAAGGTGCTGGCAGATTCAGTGTCTGGTGAGAGCTCCTTCTGGTTCATAGACAGCCTTCTTCTAGCTATGTCCTCACATGGTGGAAGGAGCAAGAGAGCTCTCTGGAGTCTCTTTTATAAGGGCACTAATACCATCCATGAGGGCCTACCTTCAAGACCTAATCATCTCCCAAATGCCCCATCATCACATTGGGGATTAGGCTTCAACAGATGAATTTTGGGAAAACACAAACATTCAGTCTGTAGCAAAGAAGCATCTGGTTACAAATGACGTCTGACTTTGGAGTGGACGAGATTTTTGCAAGGGAAATTCTCAGAGAAGGGAAAAGAAATCCAGATATAGATACTTAGGGCACATGGGAGGGTTCAGAGAGGCAGTGTACTGTGAAAATGCCATTGATTTTGGCTCCTGGTAACTTTTGGTCATTGCGTACTGTTTGAAAGAACAATTTCAGTAGAGTTGGGAATGGAAGCGCATTTCAAAGGGTTAAGAAGCAGTGGGTATGAAAGAAAGACATTTCTGACAACAATACACCCTATTCAACAGGGGAAAAGTGAGTAGGTAGTGAGGAAGTGCAAGTTGCAGATGTCAGTTCTTTTTTCACGAAATTGGGTCCGGAAGGCACATGAAACCTGAAACATCCAAAGGAGAACCCATGATTTCCATACTCCATCCCATCCTCATCCCATGTCTCCTATCACAGTGCATGGCTTTCCTTCTAGATTATAAACTTCATGAGCTTCAGTGTTCATACCTGCTGTCTCGGACAATGTTTCAGCAGTATCCTGCATAGAATACAAGATAGGACCCTGTCCTGCAGGTGTACAACTGAAGATACCAAGCCCAACGCTTGTGTCTCCTCCCCCTCCCCAAGAGGTCTCCTGGTTGATCTCAGGATAGGAGACAGCAACTAGCCCCAGGCAGACTTGAGAGGCTCTGGACTTCCTCCCTGGCACTCAGCTTTGGTCAGAATGTTTGTGTGCCCTCCCCTCTCCCCCAATTCATATATTGAAATTCTAATGTGCAATACAATGGTATTAGGAGGTGAGGCCTTTGGGAGGTACTTAGGTCATGAGAGTAGAGCCCTCATGAGTGGGATTAGTGCTCTTATAAAAGAGACCCCAAAGAGCTCCCTAGCCCTTTCGGCCAAGTGAGGATACAGTGAGAGGTCTACAGCCCAGAAGAGGGCCTGCACCTGACTGTGCTGCACCCTGATCTCAGGCTTGCAGTACATTTCTGTTCTTTATAAGCAATCCAGTGATGGTATTTTTGTTATAGGAGCCCGACTCCCACAGCTCTTTGCTTCCTTTGCCTTCCCTACACTGGTACAACACACCAAGTAGGGCTAATCCAAGTTGTCTGCCACCCTTCAGCCTGCAAGCAGGAACAGCTGTGGGCAGATGGCATTTTTCCCTGCCCCATGCCACCCTACCCCTGGCCAACTTTTTCAGAATGGTCTGCCTTCTTTCCTCCTGACTTCCTGGAGTTCTGGGGATAGATCCCTGGGTCTGCTTGTAAATCTTCCCTCCTCTCCAAAGCCTTAAGCCCAGTCTGGTAAGGAGTGGAAAAGCTGTGCTGGGTAAAGAAATCCCTACCAAGGATGGATCTCAAGGTCTTCCCCAGTAGGATTCCCAGGGAGGCCCCTTCGCCCCATATTTGTGTTTGTCTCTCTGGTGTCCTGGGAATCTGTCTCCTCTCACTTTTGTCTCTGTCAGTTTTCTCCCCCCACTTTCCCCATGCCCCAGAAGGGGAGATGAGGGGAGGTGAAAGGGGAAACCAAAAAAGCAGGGTCTTTGCAAGGCTGCAGTCTTCGGAGTTGCATGTGATAAATCCACTTAATCTATTTAATATTGTCTTTCAGAAATTCACACACACACTCACACACAGATCAGAACAAGGTGAGGACTACCGAGGGGACGGGGAGGGACCGGCTCCCTCCGGACACTGGAAGGTTTGTACCCTAGGTTCCCTTCTGCCCGACCGCCCAGGAGTTGGGATAGGAGGAAGGGAGTATTTACAGAGAACGGGGACCTAATCTTCATCCCAGGGTGAAGGTTCTGAAACCGGTAACCTCCCAAATCTCATTCCAAAAAAATCAAAAGTAGACAGAGGTTCCGGGATTAGCAAGAAAAGAGGCGGGGATGAGGTGGAGGAGAAACGGAACTGTACTCGCAAAAATGGGAGTGAGCGTGGGGGCGTGGCTACCCTGGGGCTCGGCTCTCGCGCCGGGCAAAGGGGAGGAGTCTGTCAGTAAGGGGGCGAGGCCTGGCGCCACAAACCCAATCACCGGACTGAATCACCCCGCAGGGAAGAAAAGAAGGCGGAGCCTGCCGACCTGGAGGCGGGGCTTTATCAGAGCCGGGGCGGAGCCTATACAGGAGGCGGGGCTTTAGGGACAAGTTTCCAGGCTGGGGAGCAGTGACCGAGGGAGTTCGGCCGGGGGCGCTGTATTTAGAGGGGTTGGGGGCCTGGAGCGACTGAGGGGCCCGGCATTTGGCCGGAATCCCAGGAAGCGGCGTCCCTGTTAGTGTGGGTTTTGGCGGGGTTCCTGAGGAACTGGATTCGGAGCGTGCCCGCAAGGCGAGAGTTTCTGTAGAGGCCTAGTTTAGGATGTAACCAAGTCCGGTGGCCCCAGAAGCGGGTGTGCAGGGCGCCCGCTGGATCCGCGGCTTGACGGCAAAACGCGCTTGGGAGGTCGAGGGGCGCAGAGTGGGGCCGGGCCGCAGGCGTCCTTACGGATCCCAATAGTTCTCGTGGTGCTGTGCAGCAATGATGATGACTACGGTGAGGATGGTACAGAGCACCATGGCTGCTATGCCCACGGCCAGGGAGATGAAGGAGAAGTTCCGGGCCTCTCGTGAAGCGATCTCGGCTGACACCATGTCTCCGCGGGCCAAGGCCGTGCGCACCTGCGGGGGAGGGTGGGGGAGAGCAGATCAGAGAGCTGCTACCTCGGCCGCACGCCTCAGTCTCCCTCTAAGGTGCTCCCCAAAACGTCCAGCACTCCATGGGATTAAGGAAGACCTAGTGAGCCCTCCTCTCCATACTCCGCCTCCATTCCCTCCCCCTCCCACCCCCCCCACGCACCTGCACTGCCTTGAAGATGGCAATGATGCCCGTAGGCCAGAAGCAGCAGATGGTGGTCAGCACTGCGATGGGCATATAGTCATGGGGCGGGCGCCTCGGCTCCAGCAGGGCCAGCCCTGGGCCTTGGGGCGGCGGGGGAAGCGTGGAGGTTACTCCCGTTCCCCCCGGGGTCCCGCCGGCATAGGGCTGTGGAAGGAAGGTTGTGGGGAGAAGACGTCACTCTTACCCTCCTTGAGCCCACCAACTTTCCACGTCTGGCAGAGAAAGAGGGTTGTTTCCTTCTTTCAAACCTCCTCTGGACTTTTAGGCTGTTTCCCCTGCCAGGCCTTGATCTTTGACTCCAGCTGACCACCAGACCACTCCCTCCCCGCCTCGCCCCATTCCGAGGCTTTTCCTTAGTCTCTCCTCTCCCTTGGCCCCAGAACGCCGCCTGGTCCCCTGGCCCTGTTTCTCTATCCCACCAGCCCCTCAGTGTGTCCCCAATTCCAGGTCCTGTTCCATCCCCCCTCTTCCCCCAAGCCCCTGTCCGCCCCGTACTCACCGCGCCCACCGGGTAGACTGGCACGTAGGCAGTGCAAGGCTGCAGCTGTAAGGGGTAACCAGGGGCTACGTAGCCCCCCAGTGACAGCGTGCCTACCGCTCCAGTGTGCGTGGGCACCACGAAGCCCGGGGCCTGGGCAGTGTGAGCGGGCGCCGGCGGGGGCGGGGCGGCGGCGGCGGGCGGCGGCGGGGGTAGTGGGCCCTCGAAGCGAGTCTCCTGCAGGTAAGGGTCGGGTGGCATGCGGGGCAAGGTAGCGCAGCCGGGTGGGGGTACCCCAGCGGCCGGGCCGGGCGGGACGTGATGCGGGGGCCTCGGCAAGGTGGCGGAGGACGAGGGACCGCGCAGAGCGGCGGCCCCGGAAGCCAGGCCCCCAGCCCCTAAGCGCGGGAGGGTGGCAGTGCCAGACTGGTGGTAGTGGTGGTGGTGGTGATGGTGCGAGGAAGGGGCTGTCTGTGGGGGCGGGGCGGGAGGTTCGGCCGGGGGCTGGGGGGCATTGTAGGGTGGTGGAGAGGTGTGAGGGACTGAGTCGGGGAGGCCTGGGGGCGGTGAGCAGAGGTGTGGGGAGAGATAAGACAGATGAGATAAGGAGGGGCAGGGGGAGACACAGGGGGTCAGGGATGGAGGAAGATAATGGGAGAGACAGAGAGGAGATGGGTGAGAAGCCACCTCTCATTCTTGGGGCAGCAGAGAGGTTGTATCTAGGCCATCAGCTCCCCCCCCCCCGCCCCCGCTTTTCAATCTAGTTTTGAGGTCATAACTCTCTTCTGCTCCTCTCCCTTCTTCAGCAATGGGCACACAGCTTTAACCTGCAGACCCAAATTCATATGCTCCTTGGCTTATGGCAGCCTTTGGGCTAGCCTATGCGAGCTGGTCCTGTGTGTGCACGTGTGTAGACATGCAACACTGTTAACATGTGCTCAGTTCAACAGTTGTATAAACACAGGTAGGATAACATGTTCCTCTCTGCCATTCCTTCAGTGGGGAGGGGGTGCCCTAGTCTCTTAGGGAGTCTCAGTACCACTTTTAGGACAGATTAAAGAAGGGTCCTCTGGATTTTACTCCCCTGGCAACCCCCATCTGATCATCTCTCCATATTTCCCCATTGGATGTCTCCACGCGAGCCAGTGTCATCTGTCCATCTGTCACTTGCAATGATGCTATCCATGCAGTACCTGGCTGATGCTAAGTCACTCTTGTACTTCCCTCGCCCTCTCAACCTGCCCCCCTAACCCATGTTGTTGGCAAGGGACTGAGGCTGAGACTGGCAGGAGGAAAGGAAGAGAAGGGAGGGATATAAAAAGAGGAGGGGGGTTGGGGGTCGGGGTGTGGAGAGCTGGATACAAGGGGAATGAAACAGAACCAACCGCTAGGGAGGGGTAAGGGAGGGGGTGGGGGGGGAAGAGTCAGGAGACACTGGAGAGGGCTGGAGGTTTTGTTGTTGTTTTCTACCTGACTTTTCGGATGACATGCCTGCTGTCTCGCTGGGACAGGATCCGTGCAACCGGAGTCTGGAGTCAGGATCCCTGGCTCGCACCGGAGTCTGGGTGCGCAGATTGCGCAGCCGGCAGCAGCGCAGAGATGGAGAGATGAAGACTGTGGCGGCGGGGGGCGGAGGGAAAGCAGGGAGGGGGGGAGCTTAAAGGGACCGAGGCGAGGGAGGGGGAATCCTCCAGACGCATCCCCACTCGGTCTCCGCTTTTGGACTACGTCTCGCCTCCTCTCACCCCGGCATTCAAGCCCCCAGTTTGGGCTCCTTTGGAGTTGTCATGGAAACTGGGAGGCAAGCAAGACCAAGCAAGGCGGGTGGTACTAAGGGAAGGAAGGAGGAAGAAAGAACTCTCTAGAGTCTTCCCCTCCAAGACTGGCCGTAGTGATTATATTGTGGAGGCAGCGAACAGGCGCTCAGTGGATTCAATACCCCAGTTCCCTCTGGATCTTGTTCAACCCAGTCAGGCCTCCCCCTCCTCAGCTTCCCTCAGAGTCCCTGTAAGATCTCAGGATTTTCTCCCAAATCCTTGGCTCTTAGTTTTCCCCTCTGTAGGAGAGATGACTGTATGAGAGAGAACCGTAAAAACAAAACCAAAAACAAACAAACAACAAAACAAAACAAAATAGAGAGAGGAAAAAAACCGTGTGCAGAGTTGAGGCCGGCCATGGCCTGAAAAGTTCCCAGGGTTATGACCTTGACCTGCCACCCTGGCCTGGGATGAATCGGGAGGTAAAGTGAGAGGCTCTGGTCTATAGCAGTTCAGAGGTAGGAGGCCTATGGTGTGTTGGGGGCTGGGGGTTGCAGTGTAGGGCGAAGAGGAAGCTTGGGGGATATATAGATACCTTTCCTCTCCAGGATGAAGGAGCTGAAGCCCGCTGGGAGGAGGCGACGGATCAACTGCTTATTGCTGGCAGCTCGGTTTGGGAATACGTGCTTGGTCCCCCTTCCCCCTTTTACTTATTGGGCTTCTTAGAGCTTCCAGGGCCCTCAGTGTTCAGATCCATTCCTGAAATCCCACCCACCCACCACCCCCGCCAAGACGCAGCGCCATTGCCTGAGTCGACCTGGGGGCACAGCGGTAACTGCAGTCTTTTTATTTTGCTTATTGTATCTTGGGAGCTTGTACGTGGGGATAGGGGGTGAAGATCAGCAGTCAGCCAAGATTGACCAGAGTTGGGCTTTTTGCAAAAACGTAACTGGGAGTCATTATTACCCATCCCACCCTCCCCCTTTAGACTAGTACTTCCCGGCCCCCGTCTGAGGCAGTCGCTCTCCGGAGCTCTGTCCTTCCCCTCTGACTCCAGGCAGAAACTACAGAGTTGTAAGAGAGGCGCTTGCCAGGGCGATTCCCAGGCCCCAGAGATTTAGATCACAGCCCCATACCGCTCACTTGGCTTCTAAGGCGTTCGCGTTCGCGTGAGCCCCGAACCCTCTACCGCCACCCCATCCTCTACACAGCTCGGGGCGCAAGTTGGTTTTATTGGGAGAGACTTAGACTGGCAAAGACCTTGTGAATAGAGAGAGGAATTCAGAGAAGTTGCGATTTTTTTTTTTAAATCAAGGGAAACGTCTTTAAATGCTAAGTAAAAGCCCTAACCCGGGCACCTGGGTATCGGTAGGGGTCACAGGTGGAGAGGTGCGGGACGCCTGGAGTTCAGAAGTCCAGACCGAGTGGGAAGGTCTGAGTAAGGAGCCGCCCACAAGGAGCTCCAAGTTCAGGGCGGGGCTGTGGAGTCGCTCTGGTGGAAAGACTCATCCGAAAGCAAACGAGCCTGAGTCAGCGCTGCCCTAGGGTCCCTCCGCCCCTGGGGGACGGGGGTGGTGTCACAGATGGGCCCCGGAGTAGAGTAGGGCAGAAGAAACTGGGCCAAGCTGCACTTTTACCTCGAGGGGCCTCGAGGGCTCTCCGTGTCTCTGGAAACAAGGGCACTACAAGCACTTCAGGATGAAGAGTTGTAAGACGCAGATCCGGCGCGGGCGGGAGGGAAGGGGTTAGGAGTAGGGGCCGCCTGGGCTACCTTCAGCCCTCATCAGACGGACGGCGAACTGCGAAGGACTACCTTTCCCCAGTCTGTTCTCCCAGCGCCTCCCTGGGGAAAGAGAACTAAACTCCGTGTTCCTTTGCGGAGCCGGACGCCTGAATTGGGAAGTAGGGCGAATCAAGGCCGGGAAATGGGACCCTTGGGTCGCTGCTGCCGCAGGGACTGAAGAGGCAGTCTCTCAATTCCCAGGACATGTTTGCTGCTTCTGCCTCTCCCCGCCGGTCTAAGTGGATCGCTCCACCTATTTCCTCCCCCGCTCTTTCGGCGCAATGGATTGTTCCATTGCCCCTCCAGTCTCGGGCCTGCGTTGCGGGGGACACTGGCACGGTTGGTAGGGAAAGCCCCGGACGTGACGGCTGAGTGCGACCCTGAGCAGCCTCCCCTCTCCCATCCGTCATTCCCCTGCGCGCGTTCTCCTTACACCCTTCCCCTCCCCCACGTGGGTTCCAAGCTTCAGGGAAGTAAACAGCGGGCAGAGCGAGGCTCACGGACCCAGGCCAGGTGGGCCTTTGCACTCTCCAGGGGTCCTGCGCTGCTGCTCAGGGGTCTTTCTTGCAAAACCCCTGTCTTGCCTGGCTGGGATGATGCATTAGGAAGATGCTGGCCTGGGGACAGAGTCCCCGCTGAGTTAGGGGCGGGGCTTGGGTGAGCGTCAGTGCGTTTACAATGTGGTTGGGGGCGGTGTTCGTGGGGAGAGGACTAGAGTAAAAGTAGGATATTTTGTGACAAGGACCTGGTGTGGGAACGGGCAGGGGAGGCTTGATTGCCGGCGTCTGTTCGGAAGGCAGGGGGTGTTGTCATCTCTCTCACAGGCCCTCATCGCCCCCTTCTCAGGCGGGAGCATGCTGGGGCTCCCGGGGCTGCGGCTCCCCCCGGCGGGGTTCCTGCTCCTGTTGCCGTTCCTGCTGCTGCTGCTGCTGCCCGCAACCCCCGCGCCCCATCGGGCTTCCTACAAGCCGGTCATCGTGGTGCATGGGCTCTTTGACAGCTCGTACAGCTTCCGCCACCTGCTGGAATACATCAACGAGGTCTGGCAGGGGACCTCCGGTTGTGGGGCGTTGGTGGCGTCTACAGAGGCTGGGGAAGGAGAATGGGGAATTGAATGCTGGGCCTGCCAACTTCCTCGGGGAGCTGGTGCTGGCATGGGGAAAGTCTGGGGACGAGAGATGGTTCTAGCAGGGCACAATAGGCATGTGGGCGCTGGCCAGGGGTCGGTGTGGAGGGGCTTCATCGTCCATCCCCGGTTGGGGCATTGCCCCCTTCCCACAGACACACCCTGGGACTGTGGTGACAGTGCTCGATCTCTTCGATGGGAGAGAGAGTTTGCGGCCCCTGTGGGAACAGGTGCAAGGGTTCCGAGAGGCTGTGGCCCCCATCATGGCAAAGGCCCCTCAAGGGGTGCATCTCATCTGCTACTCGCAGGGTAGGCACCGTCTCCCACCCCAGCTCCTAAGCCCTATCTGAGGCTTGATCCTTATCTGAGGGACATTGCCTAGTGTTCCCTTTTTTGAGCCACATTGCTTCAGCCAGAGCCCTGATACTTGAGCCCTCCTTTTCTGACTTCCCTCAGTACCTGGGTCTTATCTCTGTGTGTGTCCTGAGTGGGAGGGAGGCTCCCTGCACTGCTGCCCCTTTCTTTGCCCATTACCCATGGTTCTTGGACATAAAAGGTAGTGGGACAGTAAAAAGCACCCTACAGTTAGTCGGGACGCCCAGTGTCGAATTCTGGCTCTGTCACTTACATGACGTGGATGTTTCGACACGGTGTGTGCCTTCTCTGGGCTTCAGTTTCCTTTAGGTACACTGTGTGTGTGTGGGGTGCGGACGGGGGGCAGTGTTGGTCCGGCTGTCCCTAAGTGCCTGCCCAATGTGGTGTTCCGCCTGCAGGGGGCCTGGTATGCCGGGCACTGCTGTCTGTGATGGATGACCACAATGTGGATTCTTTCATCTCTCTCTCCTCTCCACAGATGGGACAGTATGGAGGTGAGTGGGCACTGTGGGCTCCATGGGGGGGGGACCCTGAGTCTTGAGGACACAAGTTTGGAACCACCTGGCACTGCTGTTCTCTTGCCAGACACGGACTATTTGAAGTGGCTGTTCCCCACCTCCATGAGGTCCAACCTCTACCGCATCTGCTATAGCCCCTGGGGCCAGGAATTCTCCATCTGTAACTACTGGCATGGTGAGTAGGACATGCCAAACTGGGGCCTCCATGGAAAGGGCATCCTGGAGGATAGGGCCTGCTGCTCCCACCTCTACCATAACCAACAGCAATGATAATGATAACTTAACAGTTATTGAGCACTTACTATGTGAACAGGCACTGTTCAAAATGCTTTATGTGTATCACCTTATTTGCCTTAGAGAGTATAGCCTGCTGCAGGGGTCGGCCGACTGTATCCTTAAAGGGCAAGATAGTAAATATTTTGAGCTTTGCAGGCCGTAGTCTCTGTCACAACCACTCAGTTCTGCCACAGTCATGTGAAAGCAGCCATATATCTTATGTAAATGAATGAGTGTGTCTGTGTTGGCAATAAAATTTATTTACAGAAACAAGCAGTGAACTGGATTTGGCTAATGAGTCATAGTTTGCAAACGCCTGGTGTAGTTTTTAAGACCATGGATGCTGCTGGGTCCAGACTGCTTGGGTTTGAAGCCTGGCCCTGCGGCATGACTTTGGGCAAGTTACTCAACCTTCCTGTGACTCAATTTTCCTCATCTGTATAATGATATAGTACATACCTTACAGGGTGGTTATGAGGATTAAATAAATTAATGAATGTAATGTACTTTGAACAGTATCTGGCTCATAGCAGGTGTTAGAAAAAGGTGTTTGCTATTATGTTTACAATTATCATGGCTACTATTATATTACTATTCACCTTGTCTATTACTTTAGCCTCCAGATTGGTCTTCCAGCCTCTGGTCTTGCCTCTTCTCCCTGCTTCTCTGACAACCTTTCTAACTGCTGTTTGTACCCAGACCCCCACCATGATGACTTGTACCTCAATGCCAGCAGCTTCCTGGCCCTGATCAATGGGGAAAGAGACCATCCCAATGCCACTGGTAAGACCCCAGGCTCCTACCCTGGTCCCATATTCTGCTTCTCTGACCCCCTGTGTTCCCCTCTCCAACCTGGCCTGACCCCTGTGACTGACTCAGGCTCTCTTCTTCCCACTCTGCAGCTTGGCGGAAGAACTTTCTTCGTGTGGGCCGCCTGGTGCTGATTGGGGGCCCTGATGATGGTGTCATTACCCCCTGGCAGTCCAGGTAATAAGGGACTGTGTGACCTGAAGATTGGCTAAGGACACTCCAGCCCCCACCAGTCTTTATCTCATTTCTAAAACTGGCCTGCTGCTTCCACTGGGTAATACCCCTACCCTCCACTCATCTTGTCACCCAAGACCAAAACCTGGGAGTCATCTCCTAGCCTCTTATATGTAGCCAGTCACTAAGCCCCGCTGACTCTACTAGGTAGAGTCTGCTTGTTCTCCATCCCTACCAACCCCCCTCTGTAAAAACTTGTAACTTTGAAATATTTACAGATTCGTAGGAAGCTGCAGAGATAGTTTAGAGAGGTCCTGTGTATCCATCACCAAGTTCCCCTCAATGGCTGCATCCTATGTAACTACAGCACAGTATCAAAACCAGGAATATGACATTGGTACGTGTGTATGGTTCCACATGCCATGTAATCACATTTCCTACCACCGCTTTTACTTACCTGGACTACTGTAATAGCCTCCAGCTCATCCCCTCTATCCTATTCCTCAGGAAAATCCATGGCTTCACGGCACTCTGTGCCTGCCTTTGATCATCATGAGTGATCTGAAATGTCACCTGATCTACTTTAGTCACTCAACAAATACTCTGTGTGCCTAGGCACTGTTCTGGGTCCTGGGGATGCAGTAGTAAATGAAAGAGAAGTCCATGGTGTTATGTAGCTTACATTCTTGTGGGGGAGACAGATAATAAATGTAAATCTATATGCCAAGTGGTGATAAAATAAGGCAGGGGAAGGGATTAGAGGATGGCCACGACCTATATTAGCTGGTGGCCAGAGAAGTCCTTCTGGAAGAGTTGCCATTTGAGCAGAGACTGAAGGAAGTGAGGGAAAGAGTTGTGCATCAAACTGGGGGAAGAACAACCCAGAGGACAGGAGTAGCACCTGCGAAGGCCCTGGGGCAGGTCTGAGGAATAAGGAGGCCCATGTGGCTAGAGTGCAGAGAGCTATGGAGAGGGTGGGAGAGGAGGTGAAAGAGGAAGCAGGGAGCCAGTTACAGAGAGCCTTTGTGGGGCACAGTAAGCACCCCCCCTTTTTTTCCTGAAATATACACAACATAAAATTTTACCATTTTTAAGTGTATAGTTCGGTGGCGTCAAGTCCATTCACATTCTTGTGTAAGCATCACCACTATTTATCTCCAGAACCTTTTTTTCCTTCCCAAATTGCAACCCCATACCCTTTAAAGAACGGCAACTCCCTCATCCCTGCCCCTCCCTGGCCCCTGGCAACCATGGCCCTTGCTTTTTGAAAATTCTGAGTGAGAGGAACACGTTGGAAGGTTTTAAGTGAATGAGTGACATGCCTTATAATAGTTAGAGGTGGAATTTATTTTTTATCTCATTTCAAACAATCCTGTGAAGATAAGAATGGCTCAAGGTTATATAGCACCTTTTATGTCCCAAAGCATTATTCTAAGTACTTTTCAAATAAAGCTCATTTAATTCTCACAACAACCCTATAGGGTAATTACTACTATCCTCTTTTGACATATAAGGAAACTTAAGTACAAAGAGATTAAATAACCTGCCTACATTCATAGAGTTAGTTAAGTGGTGAAGTCAGGCTGTCTGACTTAAGGACAATGTTTTCTTTCTTTTTTTTTTTTTTCTGGTATGCGGGCCTCTCACTGCTGTGGCCTCTCCCATTGCGGAGCTCCGGACATGCAGGCTCAGCGGCCATGGCTCACAGGCCCAGCCGCTCCGCGGCATGTGGGATCTTCCCGGACCGGGGCACGAACCCGTGTCAGCAGGCGGACTCCCAACCACTGCGCCACCAGGGAAGCCCAACCACAATGTTTTGCTTCCTCTCTACAAAGGAGGTATTCTTATGCAGGGCCAAGAAGATAAGCAACATGATCAACCACACACAGTGGGGAGTGTGTGGCAGAGCTGGAGTTTAAAATCCAGGTCTTTGTGCCCCTACTGCTTTCCTACCGTGTGAAATCCAGCCCTTCAACAAGGCCTCCAGGCCTCCAACCCAGCACCCCCCGCACCCAGCTGTGCCTTACCTCTGTGCTGCTCTTGCTGTTGCATTTGCCTGGGACAGCCTTCCTTAGTCCAGGGTAATCGCTGGGAAGCCTTTGTTGATGCTCTAAAACTAGGGTAGTAGCCTCTCCTCTTTGCTCCCATAGCCCATGCTGGCATTTGTTCAGTTATTTATGGCCTGTGTCCACTCAGTGCCCATGCCAGTTAAATATTCTTAACTAAAAAAAATTTAAGAACTTTTTATTTTGAAATAATTTCATACTCAAGAAATTACCAAAGTAGTACAAAGCAATCTTGTATACTCTTCACCTAGGTTTCCCAAATGTTAACATCTTACCGAGTTTACCTTAGCATCCTCTCTCTCTCCCTCCCTCCCTCTCTCTCTCTCCATATATATATACACACATATGTATATATGTACGGAGTATGTGTGTGAACCATTTGAGAGCAGGTTGCATGATATCTCTTCACCCTTGAAAACTTCAGTATGTCAGTGTCTATTTTCTATGTACAGGACATTCTTTTACATATCCACAATAATGATCAAAATCAGGAAATTAACATTGATACAGTACTCTGTAGACCTTATTCAAATTTTCCCAATTGTCCTTATAGAAAAAAATCCAGTGCAAGATCCAACCCAGGATCCTGTGTTGCATTTAGTTGTCATGTCTCTTTAGTCCCTTTTAATCTGGATTACTTCCTTGGTCTTTGTACACGACGTTGATATTTTTGAAGCGTATGAGCCAGCTGTTTTATAGAATGTCCCTCAGTTTGGATTTGTTGGCTATTTCCTCATGATTAGATTCAGACTGTGCATTTTTGATGGGAATTCTGCAGAAGTGATGCTGTACCCTCAGTGCATCACCTCATGAGGTACATGATACCCAGTTAAATATTGGTATTTTGAGTGTCCTCCTTGCTGCTTGTGTCCTCAACAGGCCATGAGTTCCTGAAGGACCCTAGCCCACCTTGATTTTCTCCAGCTCTCCTGATAACCTCCCCCTTACCCCCCAATCTTTTTGTAGCTTCTTTGGTTTCTATGATGCAAATGAGACGGTCTTGGAGATGGAGGAGCAACTGGTGAGTTCGTTGGAATTACCTTCCCTTTCTGCACGCACTGTCCCAGCTGTCCGTGGCTCTCTCTGCCACTGACACGGGAGTTGAAAGGTTCACCCTGTGGGGAGGGGGTCTGGGACACCAGCAGGAACTTACTTTGTCCTCCCTATGTCTTTCTTCCATGCCCCTTTGCCCACCTTGAAGGTTTATCTGCGGGATTCTTTTGGGTTGAAGACTCTCCTGGCTCGGGGGGCCATAGTGAGGTGTCCAATGGCTGGGATCTCCCACACGGCCTGGCACTCCAACCGTACCCTTTATGAGACCTGCATTGAACCTTGGCTCTCCTGAGGGATCCCTCAGGAACTCCCCAGCCCAGAGACCAAGTGGTAGCCTTGGATGTCAGGCCCTGGTGTGCCCGTGACCACCTCATCGCTCTCCCACCAACCAGGGCTCCCAGGGCCCCTTCCTCCGCTCTTCTGTGAAAGGAAAATCCTGGTTTCCGCCATCTCGTGTCCTCTCGTTTGGGGCTCGCTGCAAGCTCCCCCACCCTCTTAAGGCCAAGCTCGGGAAGTGAGAAGCCAGGTGTACTCGTGGCTGCTCCTCGACTCTGGCCAGAGGCGCAGAATCCAGCTCCTGCCCACCACAGGGGTCTCCTTCCAGGCCACTCAGGACATTTTTAGCTTCTGTTTTCCCCATGTTCCCTGTTTGTCTGAACTCCCCTGTTGTGAGCCCTCCCAACCCCCAGGAAGGACCACCCATGAGAGTGGGGTTCTGAGGCTCCCCTATGGGGACATTTCCATTCTTGAAGTGTCAGTGTTGGGGAATATCTGTGGCCCGTGAGGCCCATCTCAGGTTTGGGGATCCCCCAGTCCCTATGTTCAGTATTGGGGTGCCCTTGGGGAGCCCAGTTTCTTTGAGGCTCCAGCCCCTCTTTTAGCTACCCTTGAATGGGTGTTACCCCTGTATTTATGGAAATAAAGTTCCATTTACTCAGTTTGGCTTGACTCATTTCCAGGTGAGGGAGACCTGGCTCCCCAGGGAGGGTGGGGATGGAGAGCCTGAGGCCCGGGTGCCCGGATGCCTGGTCTGGGGTGGGACCCCCTTGGTGTTTCCGCTCTCTCAATGCCCATTCTGTGTGGGTTCCTGATTCTCTGCGGGTTCTTTCCTGCTGAGGACAATTCTCTTCCTGTCCCAGCCTGTGATTGGGGGGCTGAGCCCAGGGCTCTAGTGGTTTGGGCCCCAGCCTCATGGGTGGAATGCGCCAGCCAGCCCCCAGGCTAGACGAGGGGGCTAAGGGTCAGGGTAGGCATTTGTTGTGCCCCTTTTTGACCTTTGTAGGCCAGAGCTGGGTGAGGGGCTGGACAATGAGCCTCCTCTTCCTGAAAGAAGGAATCTTGGTGGAGACAATAAGGCCCTGTCTGCTCTGGCATGGGGGGCGGTGGCTGACTCAACTTTGCATACCCCCCACCAGGCCCTAACAAATGTCATCAAGAAATGGGGGCAATTTTCCCTTTACCGCCCTGGGCAGTCCCCACCGCACCCTTCTTTCTTTTCTCATCTGCTCTTGCCTTTTCTCTCATGACTTGACCCCACTTTGTTCTCTGCCAGCTCTGACTTTTCCTGCCCCTCAGTTCTTCCCTAGTCTGTGTTGGGTTGAAGGATGGAGGGCAAGGGCCAGGGGTGCTGCTGGTGTTTAAAGCTAGTAGTCTCTGCTGATTTGGGGGAGTTCCAAAAATAAGGGGCCTCGTAGGGTTGAGAAGAGACTTCTGAGGGGCCCTCTGCTTGGCTGGGGGGGGTGAAGGGAGTGGGATCTGGACCCCACTGAACTGACCAAGCTCCAGCTGTGGAGGAGGCTTGTGGGAGGGGGCAGGAATGGGAGGGCTCTGTCTGGCCCGCCCCTCCTCTCCTTTGCAGCCCGCGCAGCCCGCCCACCAGTCTGAGCTGCTGCTTCTGAGGCCGGTGGCCTGAAGTCTCCAGGAGAGGGGGAAAGACAGGTGGGGAGAGAACGTCAATGAGGAAAGACTGGGGGTCACTCAGAGTCTTAGAGTTGAGTGTGAGTTGGGTGTGTTGTCTGAGTGAGGGGAGTGGGTCCAGGGTGTATGTGGTGGTGTGGGTGCGTGAGGGTAGCAGGAATGTGTTTAAGGTGGGGTTTCCAGGTGTGTGGGTGTGTACAAGGTGTAAAGGGGTGTAATGGTGCATAGCTGATATTTTGAAGGTAGGAGGATTAGGATGGAAGAGGGCACGTCAGAGACAGGAGGGTCATGCGGGGAGGTGGAGGGAGTGTGTCGGGCTGTGAGCTTGTATGGTGCTGCATGGACCATGATGTGCTAAAGGAAGGGGGGTGTTAGTTAACTGTAACTGCGGATGTAGACAATCCTGGTGGCTAGTGCAAGCGTGCAAATGAATGTCCTGCCCCACTTAAAGGGCACCAGCAGACTGCTCTTGGAAGGGTTGGAACTGGAGAAGTTAACAGGAGAGGGGAAGGACCTCCATTAATCTCTTCTTGCCTGCAGCTGGCAGAGTCTGAAGTCAAGGAGAAACATGGGGTCCAGGGCTGAGCTGTGCACTGTCTTAGGCGGACTCTCATTCCTCCTGCTACTGATGACAGGCGAGGGGGCCAAGGGTGGATCCCTCAAAGAGAGGTGATAACAGAGGGGGCAGGGCCAGGGGTGAGGTCTTCATGAAACCTGCTGGGGCTGGGGTTTCACAGGTGGCAAAACAAAGTTCAGAATGGGGGGGAGGCTGTCATTTTTAGGGAGGGTGGGGCCTCAGTGGAGCCTGAAGGGAAGTGGGGCTCCTGGCTCCCCAGGGCCTGGCCCACTCAATGCCTCTCACTTTCCCCCGCATGGGTGCAGTCAGGGGGTCTGCTCCAAGCAGACGCTGGTGGTCCCACTCCGTTACAACGAGTCCTACAGCCAACCCGTATATAAGCCCTACTTGACTCTCTGCTCTGGAAGGCGTGTCTGCAGCACCTACAGGTGAGGGGTGGGGAGCCTGGGCTCTGGGGTCTCTCAAGAGGAACGAACCCCCAGAACCGGGACCAGGACCCATATGCCAATGTCCAGAGACCGGCGCTGTGTTCCAGGACCACGTACCATGTGGCTTGGCGGGAGGTAAGGAGGGAGGTGCAGCAGACCCACGCCGTGTGCTGCCAGGGCTGGAAAAAGCGGCATCCCGGGGCGCTCACCTGTGACGAAGGTGAGGCTGGGTCTTCCCAGGCCTCGGGGGAGGTGCGCCCGGCCGGGCTGGAGAGCCAGGCCTTCCGCTCGGTTCTGAACCCCGCTTCCTGCGCCCGCAGCCATCTGCGCCAAGCCCTGCCAGAACGGAGGCGTCTGCGTCCGGCCGGACCAGTGCGAGTGCGCCCCGGGCTGGGGTGGGAAGCACTGTCACGTGGGTGAGTTGCCTCGCCCTCCCTCGGGGTGACGCCAGAACTTCCCTACCCGCTGTGGTGCCCACCTCCGCCCCGCCCCCCTCAGCCCCCTCCTCTTTCCGGTAACTAGACGTGGATGAATGCAGGGCTGGCGTCACTCTCTGCTCGCACGGATGCCTCAATACAGCAGGCAGCTTCACCTGTGGCTGCCCCCAGGGCCTGGTGCTGGGCCCGGACGGGCGCACTTGCGGAGAAGGGGCCCCAGAGCCCCCAACCAGTGCCAGCATCCTCAGCGTGGCCGGTGAGTGGGTGGGTGCATGGGGCACGCGGAGGGCCGGACCAGAGGCGGGGCCAGGGCAGTGGTCACTCTCGGCTCGCTCCTTTGTCCCAGTTCGGGAGGCTGGACACGATGAGCGTGCCCTGAGGCGGGAGATTCGCGAGCTGCGAGGGCGCCTGGAGCGGCTGGAGCAGGTGAGTGGAGATGCCTGGGGCCAAGTCTGGGTGGCAGACCGCACCCCCAACACCCTGAGGTGTCTCTTCCTTTGTAGTGGGCCAGTCAGGCTGGAGCCTGGGTCCGAGCAGTGCTGCCCATGCCCCCAGAAGAGCTGCAGCCCGAACAGGTGGCAGAGCTGTGGGGCCGAGGCGACAGGATTGAGTCTCTCAGTGACCAGGTTCTGCTGCTGGAGGAGAGGCTAGGTGCCTGTGAGTCCCCATGCCCCTCTCTGTGGGGACCCCCATCTCCCAACAGCTGCCCCCAGCTCTTCCAGACACCTTTTCCCAACTCAGTTTTCTCTTGTCCAAAATCTCTTCTCCTCCACTCACTCACCCCATACCTTCCCCAGAGTCCCGCACTTTACCACCCCTTCTCCTGGTCTGTCTCCAACTTGGTGGTTCCACTTATTGGTGAGCGAGACTGTCAATCCTTCAGTGTCCAGGGCCCACTCCAGGCATCCAAGAAGTCCACAGTCAATGTGTCTGCCTGTCTCCTTGTCATTAACCAGGCTCCTGCGAGGACAACAGCCTGGGCCCAGGCCTCAATCGGCGGAGCTAAGGAGCCCCTGCAGAGCCCCTGCCCCACTAATTTGTACAGAAACTGGACCCACTAATCCTCTGGGATGGGCCGGCTGGGGAGCTGCAGATAAGGCTATCTGCCACTAAGGAGCAATGAACAATGGAAACTTTGGAAAGCTGAAGAAAGGAGGAAGGCGGGTTGTCTTGGCCTGCCCGAGTCTTCCGGCTGGGGCAGGGGCCTGGAGGAGAACTGCTTTTTTAACTCCTTAACAAACGCAGCCAGAAAGTGCCCAGATCTCTCTCAATCTTTATTCTCGGTTTCTTGCTGTTATCCAGATAATTAATAAAAATCAACCACGCAAAACTGGGTCCCACCCTCTCCTTTTGCTCCCAGCCCACCTCCGTGGTTGTGAGCACAGGTCTGGGGTGGGAGGCAGGGAGTGGCTAATGCCACAGGGAGGAAATGAAAACTGGCTCAGAGAGGGGAAGCCTCAAAAGAAAGAGAAATAAATTAAAAGCCCTCCCATCCCCTCCAGCCAGGGTTCAGTTCCTTTCCCCAACTCCCCAGGGTGAAGTGAGTGCAGCACCTGATGTCTGCCTCTTCCCCTTGTGTCTGGTTAGAATGGTACAGCAGGGCTGTAGGGGGCTTGGTGGGGCCAGGACCACTGAACAACTATACCCAGGGGATGAGGGGAAGCAGAAATGTGGCATCCAAGAGTGTGCTCAACCCTGGGCACTTGGACAAGGGCAGGGATGAGACCTCTGAGTGACAGAGTCCAGCCCCCACTGACAGGAGGCTCCACGGGAAGGAGGGAGAAGGTGCTGAGGAATGTTTCCAGGATGAGCCTGGGAGAAGTATTCCAGGCATCAGCTTCCAGCCACAGCGTGAGGAGTCATCCTCACAAATGGATGAGTCCACTGAATCCGTGGACATGGGAGTGAGAAATTGTTCCACAGAATGGATGAATCCACTGGCCAATGTGGGGTGGAGAGGTAGAGAAGACCACAAAGGAAGAGGGTCCACTGGGGACAGAATGGAGTGTTCCTACCCTTGTGTAGGCTGAACCACTGAAGATGAGGGGGAGGCAACTGTCCCACAGACAGGATGGCACGGAAGGTGGGGTTCAGAGTGGAGGCCGCACCTAGGCAAGAGTCTGTTGGGGGGCGGTGCTGGGAAGGGGGCAGGGAGCGGTTCTGTAACCACATTCACTTCAGAAGTTGAAGATTCCAAAGAAGAGAACAGGTGGGGAGAGGGGAAATGAGGAACAGGGCTTGGCCCAGCTTCGGGCCCACTGGGCTGGTAGGTGTGGAGACGGCGGTGGGGGGTGGGGGTAGATGGGAAGGGAGCTCAGAGCTGGGCCTCGCCCACCCCTCCAGGCTTCTTCAGATAGTCACCACCACCCCTGCCATCAGTGGAGATTTCCCGGAAAACGGTGAGCATGGAGTGTCGGACTGTGTCGGCCAGAGCTGGGACGTCATCTGGTGTCAGCCCTTCTGTGGGCACTGGGGGCAGCACCCGTACCTGACATCGCCCTGGGAGGGGGGTGAGCACCATCATGGCCTGTGTACCGGGACTCTGCCCACAGGTGGCGCCTGGCTTCCGAGCTCTCCTGATGCTTAGTTCCCTGCTCAACCTTTCAGTTCTCTGCCGTGGACAACTCCCCCTCAGCTTACCAGCTGCCACCTGTTCTCTGAGGCCCTCGCTCGCAAAGCCTTCCCCAGCCCCAGCCCAGGCACCTCAGCACCCTGCCGGCCCCACCGCCGAATGCTGTAACTGCGCACACAGGCTTTAACTTTCCGGCTAGACAGTAATGGCCTCTCTTGGAGGGACCAAGTGTTACCCATCTAGCAGGGTATAGGGGTGCTTAATAAATACTTATTGGCTGATGTGGGGTCACTTTAGATAATCCTGTGGACATCTCAGTGCTGACGCTGACTGAAGCTCCTGCCCCACGGGGATGTCCCTCTAGCCTCTCCCATGGCCCTTCTGGCCACCCCCGAACCCCAGGTCTGCACAGAGCCCTCACCTGAAGTGAAGCGGCGCTCCTTCTTGCAGTAGAAGTCTTGATAGGAGGACATGACTATGGGAACAATGGGAACCTGAGGGAGAGGAAAAGCGATCAGCCCACGGCTCCCTTCTGAGGTGCCCAGGACCAGCCTCTGCCGAGAGAGGAAGGGATGGTGGGGGCTTGAGGGGCAGTAGTGGACGGGAAGGAGTAATCACCTGGGCCTGCACTGCGAGGTGGAAGGCGCCACGTTTGAAGGGCAGCATGGAGCCATTGTGGTTTCTCGTGCCCTCAGGAAAAACCCAGACCCGTACCTGGGAAAAAGAGAGAGTCAAGGAAGACACACATATGGAGGGATCAGAAAATGGCTGTGATGCTGTAATGGGACTTGTGAGGCCTCGTGGCCCTGCACATCAGTTTATTTACAACTATTCTACTCCATAACCCCCATTCCCCCGGGGTGACTCACATCCTGTGTGAGCAGGGTCTGGGCGACCTCAGACATGACACTGATGGCATCCCCAGTGCGCTTCCGGTCAATGAAGATGACTCCCGCCAGCCAGCAGGCCAGCCCGGCAGAGCCGGCCCACAGTAGCTCGCGCTTGGCAATGGGCACACAGCGGCCTGGCAGTACCTCCATCATCCCTAGGGCAGAGGTGGGGGTGGGGTGAGGATACCTCACCCAGGTCATCACCCAGGGACTAGAACTAAAGGAAGAGGCAGACCTGGGGGTGAGGGGTGGGGGAAGCCCCAGAAGGTAAGAAAAGGTGACTAAAGGTGTATTATCTTGCTTATGAGGGCAGCTCTACCCCAGGCAGAGGCCTGCAGGGGGAGCAAGGGGGCAACGCCCCAGGTGAGGGAGGGGATCCCAGGGAGGGCTGCAGGAGGATGGGCGTGGCTAGGGGAGGCTGCTCACCAAGCAGGTCGAGGGAGCTCTGGTGGTTGGAGACAACAACGTAGGGCTGTGAAGGAGGGAAGTGGTGAGCCCCTCGCACCTCCACTCGGATCCCGTACAGGTATTTGATGTGGAGCAGCATCAGACGCAAGATCCTGTGGAGGTTCCACAAGGCAAGGGGTTCCCGCGGGACCTGCTGCCGTCCACCTGCAGGCCCCAGCCCCCCTCCCCGGCCCCCCCCGTCTTCCTGGGCATCTTTGCAGTCTTCTCCGCTTCCTTGTCCCTGGGCTCGCTCAGTGTCTCCTACACACTCAGTGCCCTCCCCAGCCCCTGCTTGCTTCTGACCCTAAGGTTCCCTCATCACCCAAAACCCCTTGCCCCTCACTTCATGTTCTCGACGTTGCGTCCTCGCACGGCACACACAGGGATGGCGAGCACAGCCAGGAAGAGGATCCAGCCATTGTAGAAGGCCATCTTGAAGAAGTACTTGGCACTGGGGCTGCAGAACCACAGAGTGGGCAGCAGCAGGGAGAGCAGCAGCAGTAGAGGCCACACCCCTGGCCACAGCTCCATTCTGGTCACCTGCAGGGGACGGGGCAAAGGACAGAACTAGTGGGCCTGGTTCCTGGATTGGGGACGGGGTGGGCAAGGTGCAGAAGGCAGGGTCTGGGGGGGCTCTGGGGGCCAGGGCTCCCGTTAAAACCTGTCCAGAAAGCCTCTCTGGGATGGGGGCGGTGGGGATGGGAGCTCAGGACTGCTCTCCCACCCCTCTCCCTGAAGGATCCAGATACATTCAGACATGAGACACAAGATATGGACATCCACAACTCACAGACACAAGACAACAACAGGACATTAATAATAGCTAACGCTTGTAGCTGGTAAGGATCTTATAATGGTCTATCCCTCTGCTGTCCAATATGGTAGCCACCAGCCACATATGGCAACTGAGCACGTGAAATGTGGCCTAGTCTGCATTGAGGGGTACTTAGAGATATAAAATACACATCAGATTTCAAAGACTTTGAAGGAAAAACAGAATGTAAACTATCCCATTAATAATCTTTTATATTGATTACATTGTGAAATTATAACCTTTTGGACATACTGGGTTCAATACACTAAAATTAATTTCACCCTGCTACTTTTACCTTTTTTATGTAGCTACCAGAAAATTAAAAATTACATATGTGGCTTGCATTATAGTTCTGTTGGACAGGGCTGGTCTATATACTACGTTAAGTCCTTAAATATGGAACACCCGATTTACATTTTAAAGGAGACACACCCAGAAAGGTTAAAAAACTTACCTGAGGTGATATGACTCCTAAGAGGCACTTCCTAGCTTAAAGCTAAGCAGCTTGTGCTCCTAACCACTTGGTTATGCTGCTGCCTGTATATATACACACAAATGCACACATAGCACGCAGCAGATACAGTGGAAATGACAAAACACAGACATTCTCCGGGGCTGACTGGCAAGAATAAAGGCTCTTGTCACTAACGCAAACTCAGACACACACAGCCATACAAAGACTGACCTGTTCACACACATACGCAAACTTACAATCACACCCATGACCGATAAAGGATGGTAAATTCATACCCATTAAAACCCTTCTCCACCCAGGCAGGCTCCCTGTTCCCAGATAAACCCATGGACATACCTATATCTATTAATCCTGCTTCCACAAACAGGCAAACAAATCCCACCACCCACTTCCCTCCCTCCCAGCAACACTGCAGGCAATGTGGTCAGACATGCAGTGTGTAAGGCTTCACCAAGCGAAAAAAGGAGGGCAGAGAGTAAAAGGGTCATTACACCACCTGCCCTGGGAGAGGAAAGAGTTCAGGAGGAAGAGGCTCTTCCTCCTTCCTCCACTCTGCCCCACGGTTTGGGGCAGGGTCACAATTCACACAAATGGTGTTCAGGCAAATATCTGTCACTTGTATCAAGGCCAAAGGCACGCGCTTCCAATGACAGAAGGGCTGTGCTCCAAGGTAAGTCCATTGCCAAGGGTGAAGGTAACAGGTGATAGAGGAAATGGGACTCTGCCAGCTCTAGGACAATAGGCTTTCTGAGTTGCTTCATCCTACTGCCCCCGCAAGTTGGAACAAGCGCTTCTCCCCTGGACTATTTGCAACAGGCTCCTAACTCTTCCCCTTCAATCCATCTTCCACATGGCAACCACAGATGTTTCTGTGGCACAAATTTGAGCATCTCTCTTGCCCAAAGGCCCTTCTTGACAAGTTGACTTCTGCTTACACCTTTGGCCACATCCCTACAAGAGCCTTTTCGCTCTAGTCAAACTGAGTTACTTCAGTTCCTCAGACACACCATTATCTTTCACGCTTCTGTGCCATGAACACGCTGTTCCCTTTGGCTGGAATGTTCTTCTGCCTCTTCACTTGCCTTATACAGTTCAGTGTCACTTTTTGGAGGTCTTCCTGAACCCCTCCAGG